AAAAAAAAAAAAAAAAAAAAAAGAAAAAAGAAAAAGAGTAAAGTCTGAGGCCAGACTCCTTGAGTCTGAATCCGAGATCCCTCAATTTGATTCTAACTAGTAAAGCAACTTGGTACCGTGTGGCGAGTTACTTAAATGCTTTTTATTTCAGTTTGCTTACCTGTGAAATATGATACTGCTAATGACTCCTTCATATACACAGTCATGCCTCTCTTAACGACAGGGACATGTTCTGAGAAATGCATTGTTAGGTAATTTTGTCTTTTTTCTTTTTTTGAGATGGAATCTTGGTCTGTTGCCAGGCTGGAGTGCAGTGGCACAATCTCGGCTCACTACAACCTCCGACTCCCTGGTTCAAGAGATTCTCCTGCCTCAGCCTCCCCAGTAGCTGGGATTACAGGCACTTACCAGCACGCCCAGCTAGTTTTTGTATTTTTAGTAGAGACGGGGTTTCACCATGTTGGCCAGGATGATCTCGATCTCCTGACCTCATGATCTGCCCGCCTCGACCTCTCAATGGCTGAGCCACTGCACCCAGCCCCAGTAATTTTGTCTTCGTGTGAAAATCGTGGAGCATTCTCACACAAACTGCTATACAACTAGGCTGTATGGTATAGCCTATGGCTCCTAGGCTACCAGCCTATACAACGTGTTACTGTTCTCAATACTATAGACAATTGTATTTATATATCAAAACATATATAAACAAAGTAAAGGTACAGTAAAAATATGGTCTTATAGTCTTATAGGACCACCACACTATTAGGCAGTCCATTGTTGACCGAAACTTTGTTATGCCACGTATAACTTTATTTCTGACGCAGATAAAATGAGCGAATTCACATCAGTGCCTATAATTAAGTGTTCAACTAATGTTTGCTATTATTAGCACTCTCTGATAGAATGCAAATTATTTTGAATACAAGAATTTCATTTGTCTTAGCATCTTCAAGTTCACCTATGTTAAGTTGTAGTAATTGGATAACATTTTTAAACATTTAGGTGAAAGATCGGTAAACTTTAAGCCAGTTTACTTCTTGGAACTCTCATTATGTTACCAAAATATGTTTAAGGCCATCCCACGATTTGTCTATGTACTAGTGTACAGAAAATTTTCAAACTTGCTACATTTATGGTAAACAGTGATTAATATTTATTGAGCATTTACCAAGTGAAAAGCTCTGTTCAAAATATTTTATGTGGATAACTTGGTTTAATATGCACAATAGCTTTGAGATCAGTAGTACTGTCAGCATTCTTATTTTATGTAGAGGAAATAAGTGTGGGAAAGTCCCACAGCCAGTAAATGGAGAGTAGATTAGAACCAATGCAATTTGTCTTAAGAGCTTACATTCTTAAGGGAATTCTACGCTGTAAATACATTCTCCTCTAATCTTTGGTTTCAATCCTGAGATGCTGTTTCTGAATACCAAAACACAGAAACATTAAAAAAATTCCAAATCCAGTGGAATGCAGAATGCCAAGCTCATCGCTGCATTGAAGCTGCATCGGGTCTCAACTTGCCATAGCCTGTTTTGGGAACAGTGCTCCACGTGATAATGAACTGTGATCACTGGTTTCTGTTGTACTTGGATTTCTTTAAGTGTGCAGATGGTGTGGAGACCCCAAAGACAAAGTATTTTAAAGCTTATAAAGTAGGAAACACAGTGATTCAATTCCAAAAGCAATGCATTAGACATCTCGCATATCACCTGCTGCCCTAAATGCTGGCTTGTGTTGGGATGTCTTCCTGAAATACTGTCCCTGAAGCATAAAGTGGACATGAAAAAAAATGTAATCCCTGAGGTAAGTGAAGCACCCTGAACTTCTAGATGTTTCAATAAGACTACCCATGGTCTAGTTTTAAGTCTTGGTACCTGCTAATACGTAGAGAGGTTAATGTAGTAATTCATTGATAATAATAGCACATACCTGTGTCTTGCAATACGCTGTTCTTAAGCTTGATTTGAATTAATGAATTTAATCCTCATAACAAGTGTGTGATATAGGTATTCCTTTATTTTTTTGAGATGAAGTCTCACTCTGTCACACAGGCTGGAGTGCAGTGGCACAATCTTGGCTCACTGTAACCTCCATCTCCTCCTGGGTTCAAGTGACTCTCCTGCTTCTGCCTCCTGAGTAGCTGGGATTATAGGCATGTACCGCCACGCCTGGCTAAGTTTTGTATTTTTAGTAGAGATGGGGTTTCAACATGTTGGTCAGGCTGGTCTCAAACTCCCTACCTCCTGATCTGCCCCCCTCGGCCTCTCAAAGTGCTGGGATTACAGGTGTGAGCCACCACACCTAGCCTGATATACATGTTCTTATCATCCCTATTTTATCAGCTTGGAGAACTGAGTCACAGAGAGGTTAGGATTTCAAATCAGTCAATCTGGATCCCAAGTTCAAGCTTTAGCTACTAAGGAATACTACTTATCATTGTGTTTATCTATTGATAATAGCAGAGTTAAATATCATTTTATTAATTATGTAGAATCTCTCTTTGTTTCAGGACATTCATAATACATCCTTGCTGACAAAACACTACCCATGCCCACTATTTGGATGTAATTGTGTTCATACTTTTAAGCTTGTGAACTGGCTATCGAAATGTCATTCTCAAATATTATCCTTCCACTTTAGACTTGATTTCTTTTTTTTTTTTTTTTTGCCTTTAGGGATTAAAACTGAAACTACTCTGCTTCTCCTCAGTCCCCAGTAATAAACCACTGGCAGCAGCTGGTAACAAGCTAGGAGGAAGATGGGATTATGTGTGCAAGTCTTCATTGTTTGAGCAAGTGGTGAATGTGTGAGTTGTGAGCTTGGGGGCATAAAGAGCCTGGTGAAACATCTACTCCCAGACCATTAAATCTTGGGATGTGAGGGATATTAAAGATTGGATCGCCTGGCCATTCATCAGATGCTTAAAATTTGTGTCTATTTAATTGTTTTCAGTTTATACAACTTCTTAATAATATTTCATTAATCTTGGATAGATCTAACTTTGTTATTTTGAACTGAAATCGCTTTACTTTTAATTTCAGCAGGTCTCAGTTCTAAAGCTCCAGAAATCACATTAAAAAGTCTAATCTTCTTTCATGGCATATAAAGGCCAGTTATATGTCCAGTATGAGTCTTTACTTCTCAAGATCCTTGGACTCTCTGTGATAGGCCTTTGAGTGTCCTTATTACCCTGGTCATACTCATGTGTCAAATGATGTGTTGATGAGGATGTAAGCCAAGCAATACTGGTTTCAGTGTGGGAAATCTGTGTGGGTGTTTGATAGAGAATGCTCAGGATGAGCGATGACAGTGTGAATAAGAGAGACAATTGTTTGCAAGAGAAACTTAGTGGGTGAAACATAGTAAGTCTCATAGAGGTAGGATTGGTATCACCCAGAATTTATCTTCTGTACCCAAATTTGCATACTAGTTGCCATAATGAATAGTATACCTATTTACTGATGACAAATATGGTTTATTGAAAATAATATAAACTGTCCCATGGTGACCAGACAGCCTATATAATTATTTTATTAATAAATAAGAGCTATATCTAGTAAATTCTACTTCACTGTGGGTTTTTTCAATCCAATTTTGAACTTTACTGAAGAAAATCCCTTCATGCATTTTTATGATTTACTTCATGCATTTATGAAGCAAAAATACATGCATTCTTTTTCTATTGTCTAATTAAAGTAAAATTTAAATGCAATAAAATGCAGACATTTTAAACGCATAATTTATTGAGTTTTGATAAATGTAACTTATGTAACCAACACATTCATCAAGATGTGCAACACTCCACTTGGGAAAATTTCCTCATATCCCTTCTAGTCAGTGTCTTCCCCACCCATCCACAACCAATCATCTAGTTTTTGTCATTATAGATGTGTTTGGCCTGATCTTGAATTTCATATAAATGAAAATTTTCAGTATATACAATTTCGCAACTTCTTCCTAAACAGAATTTTTGAGATCTATCGTGTTGTTGTGTATCACTAGTTAATTATTTAAAATTGCTGAGTATAAAATCTATTGTGTAAGTATTCCATGGTGTATTTATTAGTTTTTATTTTGGTAGACATTTGGATTATTTCAGTTTTTTGCTAACTTGCATAAAGCTTCTGGAAATCTTCATGAAAAGTCTTGTTTGTTGCTGTTGTTGCTGTTGTTTTTGCTATGTTTTAACTTTTCTTGTATAAAAACCTCGGAGCAGAAGAACAGGGTCATAGTGTAAGCTCTTGTTGAGCTTTATAAAGAACCTGCAAACAAATTTGCAATCAATTTGATACTGTTTTAAGTGACATTTCTAGAAGTGTTATTTTCTAATCGTTTGTAACATAGTACACTCCCAAGGTATGAGAGTTGCAGTTGGTTCATATGCTAACCAATAAATAGTATTTTCAGTCTTTAAAAATGGAATTTCTCTGCATTATTTTAATTTTCATTTCCCTGATGACTAATGATGTTAATAACTTTTCATGTAATTATTGCTCACTTGTATGTCCTCTGTTCTGTTCAAATATTTTGCTTATTTTAAAATTTGTGTTATCTTTTTGTTATTGATTTGCAGAATGTGTGTTTATGTATATACATGTGTGTGTCTGTGTCCGTGTGTGTGTGTGTGTGTGTGTGTGTGTGTGTGTGTGTATGGCATATATATATGTTGGTTACTCCCAACTTCCCCCTTCCCTTATAGATTTTCCTGTTCTGGGTATGTCAACTAAATGGAGTCGTATAATATGTGACTTCTTTTGACAGTCTCCTTTCACTTAGCATAATGTTTTCAAGGTTTGCCCATGTAGCATGAGTCAATACTTTATACCTTTTTATGGCTAAATATTTTATTGTATGCATGTGCTATATTTTGTTTATTCTTTTTAATAATTTGATAGAGTTTGATTTGCTAGAATTTTATTCCTCTTAACACCTATGTGTGTGAGAATATTAATTTGCATTTTTTCAGTAATAGGTTTGTTAGATTTGTGACAGGTTTTATTTCTTCCTCTAGTTTAGGAAAGAGTTTGTTTAAAATTAGCATTCTTCTTTCTTTAATGTTTAATATATAGTTCAGCAGTTAAACCAACCAGGCCTCCAGCTTTCTCTATGGGAAGGTTTTAATTTACAAATTAAATTTATTTATCAGGCAGGATTATATGTATTTTCTTTACTTTTCCTGTCGATTTTTAGTTCATGCTTTTCAAGAAATTTATACTTTTACCTAATTTGAATATACTAACATAAGGGCATGTATAATAAATGCCCATAGAATCTATAATGACATGCCATCTTTTATTCCTAGTATTGGTAATTAGTGTTTTTTTCTTTTTTAATCAACAGTATCTGTGTTAGGGTTTAACAATTTTATTACTTTTTCTTTTTTACAAAAACAGTTTGGCTTTTAAAATTGCCATATTGTTTGTTTTATATTTTGTTGATATTTGCTCTTTATTACTATTATTATTATTATTTTATTTGGGTTTAATTTTCTCTACTTTTTTATCTTCTTACAGTAATCCTTAGATTATTACTTTTAATTTTTTCAAATATAAGAATTTTAATCATTTATTTCTAATACGTAGTCAAACTGGATCATACAAATATAGAGTGATTTGCTTCCATGAACACACATTTTCAGATATTACCTAATGTCCCCTGTTATTTCTTCTTTTCCTTGGGTGATTTACAAATGAGCTGTTTCGTTTCAAAATATTGAAGATTTTCTTCATCTTATTAAATTTTAATTCAATACCATTGTGGTCAAAGAACATATGTTATAAAATTTCAAGATTTTTAAATTTATTGATATTTATTATATGGTATATCATTCATGAATCTTAAACATTTTTAGCATTTGAAATGAATGTTTGTTCTGCAATTGTTGCAGTAGTATTCTGTAAATATCAATTAGGTTAAAATAGTTGAGATAGTGCTTACGTCTTCTACTTACCTACTGATTTTTTGAAAATCCTCAATGAACTTTAGTTTTTAGAGAGTTTTACATTCCCAGTAAAACTGAGTGGAAAGTACAGAGAGTTTCTATATACATCCCTGTCCCCAAACATAGAAACCTCCATCACTATCAACATCTCCCAACACAGTGGTACATTTGTTACAATCTATTGACACATCATTATTAACCCATATTCATAGTTTACATTATGGTTCTCAGAGAGAGTTTTACATTCTATGAGGTTTGAAAAATGTATAAGATATATACACCATCATAGCATCACACAGAATTATTTCACTACCCTAAAAATCCTCTGTATTCTACATTTATCCCTCTCTATCCCTACTGCTTGATAACCACTCATCTTTTTACCATTCCCATTAGTAACATTGAGCCTGTTTTCATATACCTATTGACCATTTATATGTCTTCTTTGGAGAAATGTCTACTCAAGTCCTTTGCAAATCCTTAAAATATTTTAAAAATTGAGTTATCTGTTGTTTTGCTATTGAGCTGAAGAGGTTCTTTATTTATTTTGGAATTATCTCCTCATCAGATATATGATTTGCCAATATTTTTTTCTCATTCTTTAGGTTGGCTTTTGTCTGCTGATTCTTTTCTTCTCAGGGCAGAAGCTTTTTAGTTTGATATAATTCCATTTGTCTATTTTTGCTTTTGTTGTCAAATTCATGAAATCCTTGTGAAAAGCGATATTATGAACATGTTCTCCTATGATTTCTTATAAGAATTCTACAGTTAAAGGCTTTAATCCATTTTGAGTTTTTGTTTATGGTGTAATATAATGGTTCAGTTTCATTATTTTGATGTCAATACTCCATTTTCCCAACACCATTTGTTAAAGAGACGATTGTTTCTACATTTTGTAGTCTTGGCACTTATGTCAAAAATCATTTAACCAATATATATGTGGGTTTGTTTCTGAACTCTTTATTTTGTTCCATGGATCTATATGTCTGTCTTCATGCCAGTAACACATTGCATTGATTATGTTGCATTGTAATATGTTGAAGTCAGAAAGTGTGAAGTCTCCAGCTTTATTCTTCTCTCTCAAATCATTTTAGCTATTCAGTGTTTTGTTGCTGTTGTTGATTTTTGGTTCCATATGAATTTTAGGATTCTTTTCCATTCCTACAAAAAATGCCAGTGGGATTTTGATAGCAGCTACATTAAATCTTTAGGTCCCTTGGGTGGTCTCAACATAGTATTAAGTTCTCCAATCTGTGAACATGGGATGTATTTCCATTAATTTTTGTCGTCTTTAATTTCTGTCAACAAAGTTTTGTAGTTTTTAGTGTACACCTTTTTACCACTCCAGATAAGTTTATTCCTAAGTATGTTATTATTTTTAATGCTATTGTAAATGGAATTACTTTCTTAATTTCTTTTTCAGATTATTTGGTATTAAGGTATAGAAACACAAATGATTTTTGTTTGTTGATTTTCTATCTTGCAACTTTGCTGAATTTGTTTATTAGTTCTGCTTTTCTGTTTGTTTATTCTGATATGCGCTCTAAAATTTCGTCTACATATCATCATGTTATTTGAGAACAGAGATAATTTTACTTGATCCTTTCTGATTTTGATGTATTCTATTTATTTTTTCTTGCCTTATTACTCTAGCTAAGACTTCCAGTACTATTTCAGTTAAATAGAAATGGTGAGACTGTGCATTTTTGCCTTCTTACAGAACTTAGAGAAAACATTTTCAATCTTTTACCACTAAATATTATGTTCTCTGTTGGCTTTTTATATATGGTCCTTATTATGTTGAGTTAATTTCCTTCTGTTCCTAATTTGTTTAGTTTTTTTTCCCCATTTATTTATTTTATTGCATTTTAGGTTTTGGGGAACATGCAAAATTGTTGCATAGGTACACACGTGGCAGTGTGATTTGCTGCCTTCCTCCCCATCACCTACATCTGGCATTTCTCCCCTTGCTATCTCTCCCCAGCTCCCCACCCCCCACCGTCCCTCCCCTATATATATTACCACCTGGTAATAACATATGATTCTTTCAGTGTGCTGTTGAATTTGATTTGCTAGCATTTTGTTGAGAATTTTTACATCTGTATTCATCGGGAATATAGGCCTATACTTTTCTTTCTTTTGGTGTTTTTGTCTGTCTTTGCTAACAGGGTACTGCTGACCTCATAAAATGAGTGTTAAAGTGTTTCCTTCTCTTCAATTTTCTGAAAGAGTTTAAGAAGGATTAATATTATTCTTCGTTAAATGTTGTGTAAATAGAATTCAAAAATAAAGCCATCTAGTCATGGGCTCATCCTTTTTGGGAGACTTTTAAAATGCTGATTCAATCTCTTTATCTGTTATTGCTATTGTTTTTGATGTCTGTGGCATCAGTTGTAATGTCACCTCTTTTGTATCTTTTTTTAGACTTACCTGTTTTTTTCTTTTCATAGCCTAGCTAAAGGCTTGTGGATTTTCTTTATCTTTTCAAAACACAATTCTTAATTTTGTTGATTTTTTCTATTGTTTTTCTACTGGTATTTTATTTATTTATACTTTAATCTTGATTATTTCCTTTCTTTTGATAACTTTGGGCTTAGTTTGTTATTCTTTTTCTAGTTATTTCAAGTATACTGTTAAGGTTTTTATTTGAGGGTTTTTTGTTTGTTTGTTTTTGTTTTCCTGTTGTAGGCATTTACTCATATAAAATTCCCTCTTAGGACTGCTTCTGATGCATCCCATACATTTTTGTATGCTGTGTTTTTATTTTTATTTGTCTAGCAGTATTTTTAAGTTTCCCTTTTGGCTTTCTGTTTGACTCATTGGTTGTTTATCATTCAAGAGTGTGTTATTTAATTTCCACATATTTGTGGATTTTTAAGTTTTCCTTCCGCTTTTAATTTCTAGTTTCAATCCATTGTGATTGGTAAAGATACTTTGTATGATTTTAATCTTCTAGGAGCTCAAACAACCCTATAGGAAATAATCTCCTTAAATTTGTTAAAGCTTCTGTTGTGACCCAATATGTGATCTGTCCTGGAGAATGTTTTGTGTGCACTTGAGAAGAATGTTTATCTTCTGCTATTTGATAGAATGTTCCTTCCATGTCTGTTAGGTCCATTTGATAAATAGAATTGCTCAACTCTTATTTCCTTATTGGTCTTTTCTCTGAATGTTTGGTCCATTATTGAAAGTGGAATATTGCAATCTCCTACTATTATTGTGTTACAGTCCATTTCTCCCTTCAGTTCTATCAATGTTTGCTTCC